CAAAGATTTCTGTATTTGATAACTTTAATCCTAATCCAATTTGATAAAAATTTAGGACTTAAATTTAGGACTATACTAAAAATTTAGGGAATTTATTTCTTTGACGTGTAATTGAGCTGACAATATCCAAAGAATCAAAGGGACGAAGTGTATAACTGCAGGAATTGTAGGGCTGTAATAGATATAGATGAAAATATTTTCTCCGGGATTTGATGAAAATAATATTTATTAGAGATGCCAATATTTTAATGTAACATCAATTATTGCTATTTCATTATTATGTTTTGCCTTCAAATTATAAAGAATGGAGTCAAACTTCATTTATCAAGACGTGGTAATGCTCTATTGTATCCTAAGAAAAAAACTCTCCAAAAAGAAATGGAGACTATTTTTATAAGCCGAAGTTTCAAAATGCGTTCAGCTTTTCCGAGGTCTAAGTTCGGAATTATAAAAAGAAATGAAACTACTAATGCTGCTAGTGCTCTAACCAAAAGTAGTAAACCACGTAGAATTTGGCTAAAGTTATTAGTTGTATCTGTTGTTTCGCTGGCTGGCGGAACAGCTCTTATGATTTTAGAACGCAAAAGAGCGGCGGCAGAAGCAGAAAAACATGGAATGAAAGAATTAATAGCCTGTGGTCCGACGGGAGGTCCAAAAAATTTACCTATAGCGATACACTTAACTGATGAGATGGATTTCGAAGCCGATAAACCGAGACTTGTAATATTAGGATCTGGGTGGGGGGTATGCAAAGATAAAATTTTATTTTATTTGTTCTGTGAGTTTTAAATTTGTTGATAATTATTTTATTATAGGCAGTCTCGGTTTTGAAAGAGCTAGAAAAAGATAAATTTTATGTAACAGTGATTTCTCCACAGTGAGTTAGTTTATAAAATTAAATCTCGTAGTCGATTCTTTGTAACTTATTAAGATAAAATCCATTTTTTGTAATTAAGGAATTATTTTTTGTAAGTCAAAGTTCCTTTTTTATTTATATATGATTACTGAATTAAAATGATTTTTAATCTTTCAATTATTAATCCCTAATATTTTCTTTGGATTAAGGTTTACGCCTCTTTTGCCTTCATCTTGCGTAGGAACTCTTGAATCTAGGTAAACAGTTAACTTTTATTGTCCGAAACTGGTGGGCGATCGTATTATATTGATCTCGCTAAAATTTCCGGACAGAAATTTTGCTCATTGGTATCACATATTTCTTTAACAAACAAGTTGTTTTATTTAGATCCTTATTGGAACCCATTCGAAGCATCTTAAAAAGAATTCATGGACATTTTATGGAGGCAAAGGCCACCGATATCGATTTTGACAATAAACTGGTAGAAGTACGAAGTGATGACTCTGAAAAATCTTTCTATGTCCCATATGATAAGGTTTGTTTTTATTCTCAATGCAATTTAAATTATGAGAATCTCGAATAAATGTTAATTCGTCTTTCATAGCTTATTATTGCTGTTGGCTCACAATCAATGACTTATGGAGTTGAAGGAATTGAATATTGTCACTTTTTGAAGACTATCAATGATGCTCGGAAACTTCGTAAAACTATTATGGATAATTTAGAAAAAGCGTCATTGCCATCTACATCACCCGATGAGCGAAAGAAACTTTTGAGTTT